GCATGGATATAAAATCACACTTATTCACTTACACCCATAAATACGTTTGTGTATGTGAAAATATAGTGATTTGCGAATATTGTGCGCGTGTTGGAGACCAGCTAAAGTTCCCAGCCCACGAAGTACAGTCAAGTTTCGCTACTTCTTTCATGCGCTGTAAAGTTTACAGTGTGCAAAAAATGCAGTTGCTTACTTAACCACACCGATTGGTATCAGTATGAACTTATATATAAATAAGATACTAGCGGATATTTGTTGTAAACATTCTAAGAGTGAACTCATCAAACCATTTCAGTGCAGCATATTCTCCCTGCTTAGTTTTAAAAAACTCTTACTTTCATGTTTATTTTTAGACTTTCTGTTTCCATTAATCTTTCACACCAACATCAATTACTGCACTGCATTGATGGGATCTTTTGTTCATTCTTCAATTTGGCCTCAATTCGTCCCCTATTCGAAACACCCAGCCAAACTAAGACTAAGACTTTGTCTACTTGATCTACATTAAGTAGGCATTTTTCTCCTTCTCAATAGCATGAGAAACACCTCTCAAAAACTCTAGTTGAACCATCTCAATATTACATCAGTGTCACTCTATATCTACATTTTTGAGATTCATCGCTGTATCCAGCAACCATTCTGAACAGCTTATTAAGATCAAAATGTTCAAAGATTTCATTTTAAAATTGCTTTCGTAGACTCACTCCATGTTTAAAAATTGTTAGCTTAGTCACTGCCGTCTAGGTTAAAACGAAATTAACTTCGCTTGACACTTAAGTAGTGCCGATCATAGTCTACGCTCCCAACGAGATGAAGTTCCAATGAGCTATTTGAGTTCATAATCGATCAACAGTCATAATCGACTATTCTTCTTTTGAACATACACATGTTTGCACATACTATCCATGGTGTTGAGGGATGCAATCTTTAGATAGCGGTCGAAGGCTCAGCAAAGGGTTATTTATATTAGCTTCAAATCAACAATAGGTTCAGTGGAATATGAAAGCTCCGAATTTATAAGATATTCTAAATCAAAATATCTTTTGGACAAAAAAAACTTTCACATAATTGGTACATTTTTGGAGGACTCGAACTTTAGACATCGGTTCAAGGCTTAACAAAGGTTCCGAGTTGACAAGATTTACTAAATTAAATTTTATATAGCGTAATAATCATATGAATTAAAACTTCAATATAGTACAGGTTCAGTTGAGAAGTAAAGCCTCGACGAAATACCAAACTCTCCCCCATCCCGGTGTTGCTATATGATGCAGAGGCATGGACGATGACAACATCTAATGAGTCGGCGTTACAAGTTTTTGAAAGAAAGGCCATGTCGGCTGAATTGATGAAAACACTCCAGATCTGAGACGCAATACCGGTCGGGGAAAGCAGAGGAAGAGGAAGACCTCCACTCCATTGTAAGAGAACAGGTGGAGAAGGACCTGGCTACACTTGGAATCTCCAATTGGCGCTAAAGAGTGAAAATGAAGAACGACTGGCGCGCTTTTGCTAAATCGGCTATAACCGCGTAAATGGTGTCTACGCCAATAATGAAGAATTGTATAGGCACTTGCTATTCAGTCATCTTTTCACACATCCATTTCAAATCAATTAATCTTATTGCGGTCCCTCTGAAGTTCAAAGCCGTTTAAAACCACATTAGTTTCGATTTTCCATGAAGCACTTGTACTAATTAGAGAAAGATCTGGAATGTGAGCGGCATATCCGTACATATAATACATATGGTATACATACTCGTATAACCGTGTCCTTGAATATAAACACGTTATACGTAGGTGTTATATTTTCAAGTATCCACAAATGTTCATAAAATACATACATACTATATAAACTGTATCTATATGAAAGTGTAAATTAATGTATAATATAACAATATAAAAAAATCACGGTCATCAAGGGTAAATTAGAGTGCAGAGACAGTCAGTGAACAGCCCTGAACTTGTCCCATATTTACGGAAGTACATTGCTAAGTTCACATGTTATTTCCGCCACAACCCGCTCCCGCTTCGACGATGCCACGAAATACGAAGCGAACATAGATACATAGTACATATGCATGCATGTACAATACAAAGTGACCAAAACAATGCAACAACAGTTATTCTGTAAACTTGTAAGAGCAGAAAGTTTTGCAAGTTTGTGGTGTGTTCTCTTTTTTCGCGAGCTCTCCTGAGAGAGAAAGGGTGCTATTGAAGAGGACCAAATTACGCTGTATACATTGTAACATTACAGTGCCTTTGCATTGGCGCTGTTAGACAATGTTGCAGACAATTGTTGCAACGATTAGATGAGGATTGTGGAGTCTTTGTGGACAGACTACCTTTATAGTATTTATTTATAGAGTATATAGCGTATTCTTTAAAAATATAAATAATGAGAATTAAATAAATTGGTGTTGGCCAGAAAATTGTCAAAGCTGACTTCGTAGTAGCGCTCTTGATAACTTAATAACTCATACTCACAAATGATGAATTGTTCTATGTAGGAAGGAAGCCTGACATCTTTGATCGTAACTTGAAACTACTTGTAAAATTTCCGCATATTCCGAAAGAGCGATCTCTAGGGATGTTGCAGTAGTTGATTGAAAAATTTTGTTGTCGTAAAATGTTTTCTTGATCTTTTGTTTTTTTATTAAAGTTTAAACATTCTCTATTGGATTGGCATTTGGGCACTGCCACTAAAGTAACAATATTATTGTCTTACGTCTGCGCTTCGTTACATTGTCTTCTTGCAGTATCCAATAATGGTTCCTTTGGCCTTAAAGAATTAGAGCTCACTTCAGTAAGCCATTTTTAAACAATTTTATGATTTTAACTGCGTTCAGATATTCTACGAAATAACTCAAAACCACAAATCAAATGGGCAGAGAAGCATCCATAAGCAAGCTCCTTTGAATAAATGGCCGCGGCTACGTCTCAAATGGTACATCCCACACCTGAGTCCAATTTTCGATTACTCGTTCAAACATTTCGACTCGTAAATGACGAATGACAGGCGTGATGTTTTGCTCCAAGGCCTCAAAGAGGGATTGTCCGCATAGACTTTAGACTTTACATATTCCTACAGGAATAAGTCTAACGGCATGATGTCATACGATCTTGGTGGCCACTCAACCGACTCAAAATGTAAAATTATCTGCGTACCGAAGTCTTCTATCAATAAAACCATTGAATGATGCAATGTGTGGGAAGTGGCACCGTTTTATTGAAACTAAATATCGCCGAGATCACAAGCTTCAATTTCAGGCATTAAATAGTTGGTTATCACGCCGCGATAACGGTGGCCATTGAGGGTTATGTTCTCGCCGACATCATTTTTAGAAATATGAACTGATGATATCACCAGCCTACAAACCACACCAAACCGTTGACTTTTCTGGATTAAATAGCTATTGAATCTCTTCAGGTTGTATTTCATCCCAAATACGGCAATTTGGCTTCTTTATATACCCTTTGAGCCAGAAATAGGTCTCATCACTGAACAAAATTTGGCTCGAAAACGTCGGATCTTCTTGGAACTTTTCAAGAGCCCATAGAATGAAGCAATGTCGCTTAGGAAGATCGAGCGGCTTCAGTACTTGCACAAATGCGCGCAACACATTCTTTATAGAAGGTGAATTGTCGTCTTTTTAGCTTCTCCTAAACTGAGCAGTGGTTTCCTTACAAAAAGGAAAACAATATCCCCACTTTTAGACATCATGTGATTCCTTACTCTTATATTGAACGTATTGTGTGAAAGGTTAAATCTCACCGTCCAAAAACTGATTGGATCTTATCAGTGTGGCTTTAGGCCTGGAAAATCTACAACCGACCAGATATCCACCATGTGAAAAATCTTGAAAAAGACTCGTGGAAAGAGAATGGACACACACCATTTCTCCGAGGATTTCAAAGCTACTTTTGACAGCACGAAAAGGAGTTGCCTTTATGCCGCCTTGTCTGAGCTCGGTATTCCCGCAAAACTAATACGGCTGTGTAAACTCCCGTTGAGCAGCACCGAAAACTCCGTCAGCATCGGGAAGGACCCCTCCAAGCCGTTCGATACCAAACTAGGTTTCAGACAAGGCGACTCCCTATCGTGCGACTTCTTTAAACTACTTCTGGAGAAAATAATTCGAGCTAAATATCTAAATAGAGAATGTGCAATCTTCTACAAAAGTGTACAACTGCTGGTGTACGCCAATGGACTCGATATCATTGGCCATAACAACCGCGCCGTTAGTTCTGCGTTCTCCAGACTAGCTAAGGATGCGAAGCAGATTAGACTTAACTCTTACGTCACTGTTGATAATCATAACTTTGAAGTCGTAAATAATTTCGTCTATCTTGGAACCAGAATTAAAACCAACAACAATGTCAGCTACAACACATGCTATTTTCGACTAAGTAGGCAGTTGAAAAATAAAGTCTTCGTTCGACGAACAAAGATCAAATTCTATAAGTCACTCATTTCCCCTTTGTGCTATATGGTACAGAGGCATGGACATGATGACAACATCTGATGAGTCGACGTTTCGAGAGAAAGTTTCTGCGGCAGATATATGGTTCGTTGCTTATTGGCAACGGCTACAGCCGATGGAACGATGAGCGATACGAGATATACGATGCCATTGACATAGTTCAGAGAATTAAGCGACGGCGGTCATGTCGTCCGATTGGATGAAAACACTCCAGCTCAGTGAGTATTCGACGCACTAACCGCCGGGAGAGACAGAGGAAGAGGAAGACATCCACTCAGTTGGAAGACCAGGTGGAGATGGACTTTTCATTTTCATTTTGATATTCTATTGATCAATTGGAGAAATCAGCCAATTCTACAGTAATATGCTCCGATATTTCAATTTATTTATAAAAAACTTGAAGAGCGTCCATATTCCTATCAAATTGAGACCATCAAAGTTTAACTGAATTCATTCATGTATCTCTATTATATATAGTACAATTCAACATAACCACAAATAATACTCCATCCAAAAAACAAAACAAAAATTCAACTTTGCTTGCAACTCAACCGTTTCTATGCGAGGCTAAAAATTTACGACACGCCTCCAAGCTATGACGACTTAAATAGTTCTCTTGGCTGAATGCCTTGGTGCACTGCGGACACTGATAGCTCCAGTTGTGATGGCCTTTGGTGCGCTGATGAGCTCGCAAATTTGAACTGGAAGAAGAAAATGATAGTGGAAATTTGAATTATGAAGAATATATCTAAATATAAGCATATAGTATATCTATTTTATTTTATTTTTTTTTTTAGTGCTTACCGATCGGCGAAGCGCTTCTGGCACGATTCCACCGGGCACACAAACGGTTTCTCGCCGGTATGCAGACGCATGTGGCCATGCAGCACCCAAGGACGATCGAACTTCTTGTGGCACTGCTCGCATTCGTAGCTCTTCTCCAGATGCTTATTGCGCCGACGCTTGCTCAGTTCCGGCACTGCAAACTCGAAATCGTGCGATTCCCTGGTGGCCGCCAAACTTTTGGGCGCATCAGGCAATTTCGTTGATGCTAGCTCGGAGGGCTCCTTTTTTATACTGTAACCATGTGAGAACTGCGTTGAAGTACTTGTCGCTGTAAGTGCATTGCTGGTTGTTATTGTTGTTGCTGCCAACGGTTGCGCAATCGATAGCGATTTGTCAGCTTGAGTTTTGCTCGTCAACTCACCGCTGGCATTGGCCGCTGCTGTAAGCTGCGCATTGGTTTGCGGTTCATCCGCTTCGGCTGGCTTCCAATAGACATGACTGAAGGTGCCTTTCGAATTGTGTCCCGAATGGCGTTCCATAAGCGGTGTATCCAAAATTATTTCGAGTTCATAGCGCGTTGTCATCGGTATGAAATCACTGTCATACCTTTGAAGTGTTTTTTTTTTTCATGAAGTGCAAAATTAATTTTGTAAAAAAGTATAAAAAGTAAAAGTTTTATAAAATCAATTCGTTGCAACGCGTTTATATCGTGTCTTACCATTCCGAGGAAGGCAGCAATTTCTTGTACTTCGGCTTTAACTTGTTCTTCTTCTCGGCCATCGGCTTCGGTGTCGCAATGTAGTAGGTGCGCTTAAGCTTCGGCAACTTCGCGATTTTCGGAAAAATTGGTATGCGCCGAAAGACATCTGCGACATCGGGTTTGTTAAATAGAATAAACTTACTATATAGATTTTGTTTGCTTTAAACTCGCTTACCGTCCAACGCCTCGTTAACGCGTATTTTGGCGTAATTATACCGTTGTGAGAAAATGCTGCGCACCATCTTCGCTTTAGAAAAAATGTACTTTTGTTCCTTCGTCACTCGCTGCGAATGGAAATTAATTTGAATTTTTCTCGAAAACTGTTTGTTTGCTACTTGAGAAATATTTACCTTGTGTAAAAAAGTCATGGCCATCTAGGGGAGTTAAAAAGAAATTGCTTTGCAACTTTTCAGCCGCAATGTTGTCTCAAATTAAGCAAAGTAGTTTTTCAGCTGAAGGAATACGAAATAAGAAACGAATAAGTGACATAACCGTATTTTATTGGAAGGAGTAGCAGTTTGCTGAAAATTAGCAGTCAGTTGATCTGCCGATGGCAAATACGAAGCAGCAAAATTATTACTGCAATATTCCTCTTCATTTCTGACAACAAAAGCTATTCTTTATTCTTTTACTTAGTTTATTATTACCGTTATTTGTTTAATCTTGAAGGAAGCCTTTTAAATTTTTCTCTAACTTCAAAACATATTTCCGTCAATTGTCAAACCCCCATTCTTCTTTGATGGTTTGTCATTAATATGGGATTAATCTTTTTCTAACCTCAAAATATATTTCCGTCAATTCTCAAACTCCTCCTCTTCTTTGATCGTTTGTCACTCATATGGGATTAAGCTTTTTCCCCCTAATATAGCTTTTTCAAAATTTTCATTCACTTCAATGTTAATATGCAAGGATTTATGCACAAATCACAACATAATTTGGATTAACCAAGACTACTTCTTTTGTAGTAATAAACAAAAAAGGCTGCACAAAAGACTTTGAGAAAACGGCCCAAAATATTTTATTTAACGCCGTAAAAATGGTAACGGCTCTAGTAAAAAAACCTTCAATCGGAAATCCTTCTTCAAAAAGTCAGAATTCTAAGAGCCGGTTTTGTGTCCCCGACACTTTTTCTTCGCTTATTTACATATGTACGTAGAAATGAATACTGTGTTCTCTCACATCTGTCCTTAGGAAGAATCTAGCTTCAACTCAGTCCTAGAAGACGTCAACTAGCTTGCAGTAGTTCATTCAATAAATTAAACGGCTTTTCATTATCCAAATTAAGCTCTATTTTTAAATGCACTGCCATCCAATTTAAGTAGTTAATAAAGTAAAATTAATATTTTCAAATGGTCACCAAAATACTTGTTAATTAAAACTTGCTCTTAAAACACCTTTTTTCTTCTATTTAAATAGTTATTTCCGTATATTTTGAATTGCTTGCGCTCATGAAATCCAATTGGACACACGCGAATATTTCAAATTTCATCTTTTCGCTAGGAATGATATGAAAATAAAACAAAATAAGTTACAAGGAAAGTATGTGTGTGAACTGCTGTGACGTGAAATCTTTAAATTATTGTAAATATACATACGTTAATTTGAGAAAATTTTTCAGGTTAAAAGCTGCAATGTAAAGAGATAAAAAAGGAAAGATTTTAGCAATTTTATACAAATAAAACAAAACGCATTGTGTGTACCAACCAAATAGGTAGAGCATGAATTACGCAAATGCGAAAAAATTAAAATTGTAAAACTATTTTTTTTTTTAATACTGGATATAAGAATAAAGATATCCATTCTTCATTTTTTCAATGAGATATTTGCGACTAAAATGTTAAACATTATTTTTTAGTAAGATTGTAAGTAAGTAATTACAAAACAAAGCACATTTTAAATCATTATTAAAATAAATATTAATTCTCAATATATTTTAATAATAAATCAGGTTTCTTTTTTTTTGTCAATCTAGCATTCGGGATTAATTATTATTTTTTAACGCCATTTGGGAATAAAAATTAAATTGAATTAAGATTTTAAGATTACAAATATAGAAGAGATATAGAGAATAAGGTTATTCAAATGTTAATTCAATTATCTTTTATGCATATATGTATATATTGTGCAACTTTAGTACACACTTTATATAATACATAAAAAATTCTCAGTTCCAAAGGTATTTAAAGCCGATTAGTTGAATCATTACTTACTGTAATATAATGATATGTACATTCGCTAAAACAAATAAAAATTATAGTTGCATATTTTCAGTGTTGCTTAAGCATGCAACTATGCACAACTATCTGCTATATAACAACAATGGAGTGGCAACGCCATTCGTTGACAACTGAACGAGTGCAAAGCGAAACACGACAAAGCATAAAACATTGTGGGATTTTGGAACAATTTTATGGTTATACGTTCGGTTGTTTGCTGCGAATTTTATTCACCAGTTTTTACAAATAGTTTTTTACGTGCGAAATTTAACGGAATAACTTCAATAATATTGATAATCTGTGTATTAAGCATTAGTGAAAAGTTATTTAATAGAAAATTGCATGAGTTAAAGCGGTAGCAAACTGTGTGAACGATAACTAAAGGGCAAGCAAAAAATTACCAACAGAAAGAGACCAGGTCACGACCACGAAAGACGCGAATTATTCTCTACTACTCGTCTATGTTTTATGTCTGTTTTCGCGTATTATTTTATAAGTAAATTTTGGCGTTTGTGAATAATCGGCTTTCAACACGCTTAAACCTAAGTGCAACATTTTGTGCAAATACACAAACTTATATGTATATAACAGCTGTGTGAATTCTGGGTAGAATCGACGGAAAATCAATTCCTAATTAACCTGAGCTTCTTTAACGCAGCAGCTGTTCTAATTAGATTTCAATCGATTTTATACGAAGCCGCAAACGTCAGTGCATTTCCATTTTGCTAGAACCTAAAGGTTATAAAGAATTTGGAACAGGTTGGTGACTTATAATATAGTATTTAATATGAAATATTGTATGTAATAAACATTATTTGTAAATATGAAAAATCAATGGGTATAAGAATATTGTCTAAACAAGCCTATCGGCCTACGGAAGTTTCGTTTTTTCATACTTATTTGTACTGTTTCCATGTTTCCTCGATCCGTGTGCTGCGCCCTCGGAAGCGTAGTGCAGTCAATAAAGCAAAAGTGCCGGCATGCGTTTTTGTTGCTTTCATTGTTACCCATGTTTGTGTGTAATGTGGCAGAGTTCCTCCGCTTGGCAAGAGGTCTTGTCGACTTGTGGTGATATGCGGCAAAATAATAAAAGCCACAATGGAATTGGAACACATGTAAACTGACGAAGGCACTGTGTATGCTTTAGCAACAACAAATCGTGACCGAGCATTTTTGAGGGAAACACCGGTTTATAAGTTTAACGTACTAAGTTTAATTTATTTGTCGTAAATTTATCTTATTATATAAAATATATATGGCCGGGAGATACTGTCGAAAAGGAAATTTCAACCTTGTAGTAATGCAGTACTACTCGCTATTTAGTTTAGTAATAGATTCAAATGTTAAATGATTTATGACTGTTAAATATTTTTAAGCAAATAGGTATTTTCTTATTTATTTTTCATTGCATAATACGTATTGGTATTTTATGTAAGTTTGTAAGAATATATGTCTACATATGTATGTACATATGTATATTGTGTTTCTTAATAAGGTGCTATACAAATACGGAATCGACATGAGTCACTACTTTCGCAGAGGTAGATCAAAGGTTGACTATATTGCAATATCGATTACACTTATTTGTATAAATACCTTGCAACTCCATACATATGTATGTATGTATGACGAAATTTATCATCTAGGGTATATGACTATTTTGGAATTCAATTGCATTTAGTAAGTTTGTGTTGTTAGTTTTGTCAATCAATTTGTAGTTTCCAAGCTGTAGGCACTTAATATTGCAATCTGATTATTGAAATTAAATTTGTTGATTCCTATACTGATAGCATTTCATGCATGTATGTATTTGTTGCTTTATAACTAAACGGCAATTAATCCCATACTTAAAGCCATTCACTTCCTCTATAAATTTGCAGTAAACGTAAATGTGTAGAACAACAATTTTCCGTAACTTTCGCCATTATGACCATTATTTTCTACATTCGCACATTTTCATTCACTTCCAGCGCTGTTTTTTTTATTCATATCTATTGTTTTATTACATATCATTACTATTATGTATTTACTTTTTTGTTACATGTATATTTGTCCAACAACTGCGAGTTCATTAGAGAATGAGTAGATTGTTCGTGAATTTGTAACTAACACAAGTGACAAACTGGGAGAAATTTGCATATAAATTGGAAATGCAAACCCAACATAGATGCCCTATATAAAAGTTTATGGAATAACCTTGTAGGAAAACTAAAACTGCTGGGTAAAATATGCGCTTAGGTGAAACTGAGCGTAGAAAGATGTCTATAATATAACTGTTTCAGAAAAAAAACTACAGAACTCGAGAAAAACAACTTGTGTATTAAAGGAAATAATAGGTTTTAGCACAAATTTATAAATAACATAATGTAACAATTGATGACATGTCAACTGTTTAAACTAATACTTTAGGATCCTAAACATCACGAAGTTAGGAAGCGATCAGCTAAGGCTGCCTTCTAGTCCCTTAGATTTTGAAACATTGATCAATTATTTACCGTTGTTTTCTCCTTAAGAAGCTGCTCATTTTACGGAATCGCCTGTTGTTGTTGTAACGGCAGAATTCTGCCGAGTTGACAGTCCTTGGCCGGATAAAAATCCGGGTATTGAACTGCTCCAGAATATAGCTGCCATATAATGTATGGAATTTTTCTTTATATATCAATATATAATCATGAATCATGATCAGATCTGTCCATTATAACTAATTGTTGTCATACCTCAACCTGACCGTATGAAATCAAGTTCTTCAAAAAATTTCACGAAAAATTTGTTCAGATCCGAAAACTAAAGCTTATAGCTGCAATTCTTACTGACGGATCAAAATCAAGATATAGATTTTCATAAAATGTATGATTTCCTTTTTATATTTATAAACAAAATTTGATTTGGAATTATTTAAAAGAATGGATCAAATGAGCTGTTGGCTCAAGAAATCGTGAGACAGGGCTTCTTCGTTATTCAACATTATTACGCTTTTTTCAGCAACGGGATATGAGCTTTAATCTTTTCTGTGTACACCGATATCTGCAAAAAAAAAAAAAAAATTGGTTAAATTTTAAAGTCGAGGAGGTTGTGGTGGTTGAGTTCAGCAGGTTTTATTATAACGACTATGGGGGTAATATGGATTTAACAAAAAGTGCTTGGCAGCCGCGAAAAATTTCATCAAACCCCAATGTTAAGTAATTGTGCACTTCAATTAGCATAATTTGAGATTCCAAAGAGAAA